GTATATCTATAGCCTTAGTAATTATCCGTTAGTAATATAATAGTGAAATAGTAAGATCAGAGCTGGTAAGATTTCATATAAGAAAGCAGCTGCGTAACAGAATAGAATTAAATTATACTTATTGATAATCAGGCATGTTGTTTGAATTATAGTTGGAAAGTGGCATTGTTTTTGGAATCTAGCCAACGTTTTGCGAGATACGTCGGATACGTCGATGTCGTCGGCCGCAACGGGTCTACAAGTAACACGAAAAATCCCGAGAACTGCCGAAGCGATTCAGTGACGTCATGTTGAAGCAGAAGAGATAAGACAGTCAAAAACGTGAAGTTCTGTTCTGTTTTTGAATATATCCCAGACTCGTGTAGGCACCATTGTTCGCTACGTGATTAAGAAAAATGTCGTACGCTTACCTGTTCAAGTATATCATCATCGGAGACACAGGTAATAATTGCTCGATACTCCTGGCCAACCGAATGTTAAATGGTTCTTACGGTCACGATGAGGTATGTCGACCGTGACAGAACCCATTGTTTTCATTTCTACGGACAGTAGTACATCTAAAGATCTCGATTATCAAACGTTCCGACGATTTTAGCATCGCGATGTATAAATTTCGCTGGTCACGTAGAATGTTACGCATCAAATGACCATTCCATTGTGTACATCGTATTCTGCATAGTATCTTTGTCAACAAAAACTAAGTCGCATTTATTTATTTCACCTAAGGTCAGATTGTTACATCGAATTCTTTATGCGATAAACATCTCACTTAACTAGGAGAAATTAAGTTTTTATAATAATTTATGATAGTAAATGTATATTCAATTATTACTCAATAACTTCTAATCTGAGGAAATATTTGATTCTTAAACAGGAGTTGGAAAATCCTGTCTACTCCTTCAGTTTACGGATAAGAGATTCCAGCCTGTTCACGATTTAACAATAGGAGTCGAGTTCGGTGCTCGTATGATCACAATCGATGGCAAGCCGATCAAGCTGCAAATTTGGGACACTGTAATTATTTTGTTACGATATGTTCAATACTGTATTAAACAAACGTATGGCAATTTTTAAGACAAAACGGTTATTGAATTTAATAGGCAGGTCAAGAGGCGTTTCGATCAATTACACGGTCATATTACCGGGGAGCAGCAGGAGCTTTATTAGTATATGATATTACACGCAGAGAAACGTTCAATCACTTAACGACTTGGTTGGAAGACGCGAGACAGCATTCAAATTCCAATATGGTAATCATGTTAATCGGTAACAAAAGTGATCTGGACAACAGAAGGGAGGTGAAGAGAGAAGAGGGTGAGGCTTTCGCAAGAGAACACGGACTCGTTTTTATGGAAACCAGTGCGAAGACGGCGATCAACGTAGAGGACGCGTTCATCAATACGGCAAAAGTAATTTATGAAAAAATTCAGGAAGGCGTGTTCGACATAAACAATGAGGTATTCACAATTAAATTTCTATCAAAAATATATTCTATACGATGTACGGTATTGTTAAATACGAATTACTTGTCTGCGTAGGCAAATGGAATCAAGATCGGGCCACAGCACTCGCCCACAAGTCCTATTGATAAAGCGGTAGAGGATGGGCAGTTCTATTTAATATTTTCTATTTGTTCACATTGTATATTGTATGTATCGTGCACTAATTATTGGAGTTTTAATTCGATTTGCTAATGGATCAAATTGTTGGTATACACGAAATCAAATGATCTGTCAAAAATCTGATTTACACTTGACTACCTAAGGCGACACTATGTATCTATGTATGTATCAATGTACGAAATGATGAATATATAAATCATATAAATCAATTTTATTGCGAGGCCTATCTAATCGAAATCTTATTACTTTAATAATTCTGTGATTGGTATTATTATTATTATCATTATTATTCTTATTATTCATGCTATAGTTTAAAGCTGTGGTACTCTGGTTACAAAATGAATTTCTTATCTGTTGCCACAAGTAATAATATCAATCGACATCGTAGAGAAGCTGAACATACTTTACGTTTTGTCCATTTAAATTTATAAATTGGACACACACGCATATTTTCCTTTTTAATATAAGTTTAATACTTTTAAGTATATTATGTATATGTACAGAAGTTTTAAGTATAGAATGTTAGTGGAAATAATATTTTTTACAGGGAAACGAATTTGTTTAGTTACCTTTATAAAACATTAGCAATGGATTTTATTTAACGTGTCTTAACAGTGTATTGAATTATAATGGATATAGCAGTTTGATGTTAAGTGGATGTAAAGAAGTCTAAATATATTTCCACAGCATTCATTCAATTCTTATGTTCGTTCAACATTGGATGTATTGCTATATTATTAAAATGGAAAAATATATATATTATATGTATATGTACAAT